ACAGCAAATACTAATTTCTTAGAATTTGGGAACTGAGAAAGAACTTTGGAGCATTAGCTCAGCTTCTTCGTTTTACAAGGGAAGAAAAACAACCCCCAGGCATGAATCGGTTTTCACAGGGTCACGGAAGTACTCAGTGGAAGAGCCAGAGCTTGCCTCATAACCACCAAGTGAGTTTAATAATGAAACACTGTTAGGAGAAGAGGAACCTTGTTCACTTCAGGACCATGAACAGAATGCGGACCCGTCAGCATCTTCTGTTTCCTTGAGAAAGAAAACTATGGCCACCAGGAGGATGTTGCTTCCCTGTCCCTCTTTAATAATACAGTGTGATACCTTCTTGTAGCACATGCAGGAGCTGAAAGTGATATGTCACTCTTTGTTTCCTTGTATTGAAAATCTTGGTCCTTCAGAAGCCTGGAAATAGCATTTGGTCAGTTTATAACTAAGAATGTGGAATTTGGCCTGGGAAAAATCCCTGGTTTGCTGTGTGTTCTAAGTAATTTTATCATTTAAATACTGAGTAATGTTATCATTAATTGAAATAGTTAACAACAGTGCTTTAGAAAACAAAAATGCTTTTTTGCTGGGGAAATGATAATCAAACAGGATATTATAAACACTAAATACAGAATTTTCACAGTACCTGCAGTCAAATGCTCTACCCCCTGAGCTATACCCCCAGAATTTTCACAGTACCTGGAATTCTGCTTACTGGATCATGGTCTATTCTATTTTGCATAAATAAGGAAAAGTCTCCTCCTTATTCATTTCAATAAAAGCTAGTGCACATAGTTTACTTTAGGAGACTGGGTTGCTTCTGGCTGGTTTTAAGACATTAGGGACATTGGAGAGAGCAACACTGAAAGAAGCTAAGGCAGTTCAGAAAACGTTATTGAGACCTGCTTCGCTTTTGTTCCCTACAGTGCTGGGTGTGTGACTGTGTCCTCCAGGTTCTTCACTCTTATAGAACTTTTAGTTTAAGAAGAGTAATGATGCCATTAATGGATGTCAAATGCCCAAGTGAGGACACCAGGCTGAATACTTGAGTGATTTTCCTGGAAAATTCAAAATGAAGGAGTGTGGATCTGGTGTCACTATCATCCCTTTGTATGTCTGTACTTGGGGCCATATTGAAATGGCCAAGAAGTTGAAAATGAGGGAAATGGGCTTCCTTCCTTATTTTTTTGTAAGCTCAACTCATGGGAGGAGCAAAGCCACCTGTAAGAGAGGCCGATCTGTTCCTAGACCTGCAGGGTTTCATGGTCAGATCCCACTGGGTGGTTAAATGTCAGTTTCAATCTGGAGATGAATATGGTCAGAAAAGGATGAGTCTGAGAGTTAAACATTGGTAGCACTCTTCTCAGCTTTGTGGAAGGAAAGAGAACTGTGTCAAACAGATTTGCGGTATCATGGCCCCATTGCCAAGGTATCCCAACAGACTGAAGATTCCGGTTCTACAGATGCATCTACCCCTGTTGGGGAACTGGGTCCATCAGGCTGTGCTAGCCCATAGACTTGTCATCTCCCAGTGGGTTAATTCATCAGATGTTGAGGGAGTTTGGACTGATGTGTTACCCATATGTTCAGAACTAACCTGCCTATTTCTACAACAAAAGATAGGCGTTCATTGAAGGCTCTCATCAGAATAGTTAACAAACTTTCCCATTCCAAATCAGTAAGAATGCTAGTCTTTTCCCCAGATACCTTCATGGGTTATTCCTGAGGACCTGTGAGATGAGGTGCATTTGCTTAGCTACTTCTCAGGTTGCTATGCCGGCTTACTCCCAGCCCACTCTCTACTGCTGGGAATAAAAGCAATTCGGGGGCATACACAAGGCGGTACCTGCAATGTCTGGCTTATGATGTCCTGGGAGTGGGCCTCAGGTGCCTGCAGGGTGTCTTTGTTACTGATGATGGAGGAGCTGGGCTCCCTGGAGCCCCGAGGGAAGCAGGGCAGAGGTGACTACCAGCTCCCACTGGCCGAGCACCTGGCCCCCTGCTTTCAGTGCCGATCGCCCTTCCTCCTCCGGTGTTATTCCTGCTCAGGGTATCCCGCTGCCGGGGTCCCACGGGTTCTGCTTCATGTGCTCAGCTTCATTTGCACCATCTTTCCAAGGCTTTTCTTCTGTAGTGCCTGAAGGAAAAAGGCCTGTGGCATCCGTAACATTCTGTGCTTAGAACCATCCAGCCCCCCTACTGGATGAGAACAGGTCACCGTAGACTTCCCTCCTGACTTTGGTGAGTTTTTTCTTTAGAGGTCCCTTATTCAGACCTTGGTTAGGACGTTCCTAGTCCATTGGGATTGTTTTAATTACTCTCCCATTCCAGAGTTGATTCCATTCCCTTTCTCCCAGGAGATTCCTTTGCTTCGTAGATATTCCTGAAAAGAAGTAATGAGCGAGGGGGAGAAGTGATGTCCAGTGCCACCTTTGGTAGCTTTTGAGACCCCAATATAAATGGATATGGAGTGACACCTAACTCTTCAGCTAAGAACATCCAAGGGCCAGGCCCTCAAAAGTCCAGCCACATAAAGTAAATGCAATCTGAGGGCCTCAGAACAGAGTTGAGAATTGGTTTTTCCTGAGGATCTCTGTCGGGTTGAGGTGCCAGAAACAGGACATTATGATTTTTGTGCTGTCATTAAGGAAAATCTCCTAAAAGATTTTTAAGAGTTTTTTAAAATGTATATCCTCCTACTTCGTGTTCCATATCTTAGTCTGTTCAGGCTGCTGTAACAATACCATAGACTGGGTGGTGTCTGGACGACAGGGATGTAGTACTCATAGTTCTGGAGCCTGGGAAGTCCAAGATCAAGGCACTAGCAGATTCACTGTCTGGTGAGGGCTCACTTCCTGGTTACTGACCGTCTTCTCGCCGTGTCCTCACATGGTGAAAGGGACAAGCGATCTCTCTAGGTCCCTTTTGTAAGGACACTGGCCTTATTTATGAGGGCTCCACCTTCATGACCTGATCACCTTCCAAATGCCCCACCTCCTCATACCACCAATTTGGGGATTACATGTTTACCTGTGGCTTTTGAGAAGACACAAATATCCAGTCGCTAGCACTCTATATAAAAAGTTTTGATTCTAGGGGCGCCTGGGTGGCTCAGTGGGTTAAAGCCTCTGCCTTCAGCTCAGGTCATGATCTCAGGGTCCTGGGATCGAGCCCCACATCGGGCTGTCTGCTCAGCAGGGAGCCTGCTTCCCCCCACCCCTTGCCTGCCTCTCCGCCTACTTGTGATCTCTGTCTGCCAAATAAATAAATAAAATCTTTTAAAAATTTTTTTGATTCTATAAAACTAGAGGGAAAGTTTACATCTAAAACATGACATAGTGAGAGAGAATTATTCACCATGTGACCATAGGCAAAGCTGCTAATGTGCCTAAAACTGTAAAAATGGATAGGACAGTACTTAATTTGGAGCCATGTGGCCTCCAGGGTGACCATTCTCACTCTGAGCCTCTCTGCTTGGAAAGCTCTCAGTGGCTGGCTCGCTGCCAACCAGAGGATGCGTTCCAGACTTCTGCACCAGCGTGAGCGTTCTCCTGAGATCTGGCCTGTGTGCTTTTCAGCACATCTCACCTGTCCTTACCTTGCCCTTTGTTGCCCCCTGTGAATTCCCCTGCACACACAACACTGGTCCCCATACTCATGTTCCTCACCTTTGTAGAAAGCCTGCATGATTTTCTGGTTTCATATAGCAGCAAAACCCCGCAGACCAAGCTTTCCTTGTACAGTTTGTTACCAGCACTTGGCTGACATTAGTGTCCTTATCAATGGGTGGAGAAAATTTTGCTTGCCCTCAGGGAAAAAAAACCCCAAATGGCCAAATAACCACTCCTTTGTCATTTGATATTCAGCAAACATTTATTGAGTACCTGCTGTTTGTTGGTACTGCTGTTAGGAAGATGAGTAACACAGCATCTATGGCCTCAGGGAATGCCCATTCTGGTAGGGAGAGACAGACTCATAAGCAGGCAGTCAGTAATAAGTCCTTCAGATAAGTGTTTTGCTGGGGAGAAGGGCAAGTGCAGAGGGCTGTGGCAATAAAGAGAAAGCTCACTGACTTAGCATTGTAGAACACTTCAGATGAAATGTTCAGTAGTTCAGCAGGTTTTAGGGGAGGGGTTGGCTTGGCTAGATAAAAAAGAGAAGAAAAATGGGTATCTAATACAGAGTACTGTTGGCGGCCCTTTCTAGGAAACAGGTAAAGACTAATCTAGTCTGATTTAATTCTCACTAGAAAGTAAAAAGAAGCAGTTTACATTTTTTTTTCCTGTTCTTCTGGAACTTGTATTTTGAAAAAAGTGTTCTCAATATGGTGACAAGATGTTACCACATTGAAATTGCCAGAATCTATTGCATTGTTAGAATGATCCTGAGGTGACTTGAAATGGTCTCAAGAAATTTAAAACTCACTGTGAACATAAATTGTCATTAGTGGAAAGAGTAAGATGATCACAGTGAGCTGTGATCGTACCATAGCACAGTGGTTTCCTACGTAAACCTTAATGTTTGTCTTTTTTTCTGTCTTCACCGAAAAGGGGGAGGCGGGGAGAAACACCAGAAGGGTATTAAATGTGTATACTTACGTTTTAAAAAAATGTATTTTAAATTACCCCTCTCTTACTAGTCTTGTCCAAAACTGTAATGGAAACTAGTTTAAAATTTTTTGTCACTTTCAGATGTATTCTCACATAATGGAAGGAAGGAAGTCAAACATTTATGGGGGAATGATGAGTAAAAATTGCAAAGTGATGTTACTGTTTTTGAAATGGTCAGTTTTTACGTGACTATTAAATGCTGCCTTTCAAATTTAGTAGAAATAGGAGATGTGGGGATTTTCCTCTTTTTATTATAAAAGAAGTGAGCACATCAATCGGGGAAACATGTCACTTTTAACATATTTTAGACTCTCAAGTAGTTATGAAGTATGTTTTTGTCTCAATAATAACATGAAACTTTTCTTACTAAGAAGACTGTCTCTCTTTAAGGTTATGAGAAGACTGACGACGTCTCGGAGAAGACTTCACTGGCTGACCAAGAGGAAGTACGGACTATATTCATCAACCAACCCCAGCTGACAAAATTCTGCAATAATCATGTCAGGTAGGAACTACCAAAGATCTCTGTGGGACCAGCTATCACAGCGGAACTCAATAGGCTGTCTTCTCTCTCCGGCCAAAACAAAAATGCTTACAGAGAGTGTTCAGTTTACTCAGTTACTCTTTGAGAGTTTATTGAAGGTGGTGTGACTTGGCTGTTTTTTTGAACTTCTAGCCAATATGGAGATGTGAATAAGAATCTGGAAGCTGGAAGGAGCAGAAAGGATAAACAGCCATACTCTATCAATTCTCTATGTAGTGTCTCAATAGTGAAAGCTGATTATAGATAAATACCTTTGTCTCGAACCTGTTGATAGAGTGATGAGTTACTGTTTTTGGCCAACAAGTTTTAACATTTTGGAAGAGGTTTTTGCAGTTCTTCACCAAGAACTCCTTTTTGTTCAATAGTCTTTAAATGTTGGCTTTTGATAGTTGCAAAATTGAGTATGGTGTTGAGGAATGGAGGGCTCTGAGAATTGCTTGAGTGTTACATTTTCCCTCCAACAATAGTATAAAAAGTGTCGCTGTTGAAAGCACTGTTCACTAAGTGGCCTCTGGACTGGAGTGAACATGAACACCTCTTACCCATTATGCTAGCCCAGTGTTTCTCCAGAGGCAGAATTCCTGGATTTGAGAAATGACCATTTAAAATTAATATTTACAACTTCACATTCTAGAGTAACTTTCTCAGTTTGGGAATGTGGTATGCGTTCCTATAATCTCCTATTTTTTTTTTTTAAAGCTTTTTGTGAAAAGCATTAAAAATAGCACAACAAATCCCCTTGTACCCATCATCCAGCTTCACAATTAGCAACTCATATAATCTTCTATTTAAATAACAAGAAAAAGACTGGATGTTTTCAAGACCTAAGTAATGATATCTTATTGATTGTGGACATAGCTGGTATGTTTTGTGTAGAGTCCTAGCCTAGTTCCTGGAGGGACCTTGAAGAAAATTTGAAGAGAACCTAGAAAACTTCTCATTTTCCTGAAATTATCCAGTGAACGCATCTCTGTTTAAAGTTCCTGGTCTTACTCAAATTCAATTTTTTGTAAGATTTTTTAAATTTATGTATTATAGACTGTCTTAATTAAAGTTGCTCTTCTTTGTAAGCTACTCTTGGTATGTTAAAAAGGGATGGTTGGCCAAAGAGAACAAAAGATATTGTGCAGAAAATTAAACTCTTACTATTGAATTTGACAGTTCTTTTCCCTCATTTCATTTAGGTTAATGACCATTTGCAATATTCTCCCAATTTGAAACAAAGGGCAGATGTTCATCTAATATTTTATATGATGATGATAGAATTTTATAAACGTGGGTGCTAATTATGGGGTAATTAAGTTTTATGCTACTTTTCATTTTGTTTTCTAGCACTGCAAAATACAACATAATCACATTCCTTCCAAGATTTCTCTACTCTCAGTTCAGAAGAGCTGCTAACTCATTTTTTCTCTTTATTGCACTGCTTCAGGTAAAGTCCCGTCATAAAACTTTAGCTCAAAGTCAAATGTTCAGATATTAATAAATGTTTTTGTTCAGCCAGTGACCAATCTTGCAAAGCTTATCTAAACACAGAGAGACAAGCTGGTTTGGGTGGACATTTCCAGGTCTTGCTGCAAGCAATGTCAGAATTCCACTGACATTTGATTCACTTTTATCAGCTTATTTTAAACATTTGGTAAATTTGATATGACAGGAATGAAATTTGATGGTAAAGGGGGATGGAACTCCCCCCCATATTAATATTAATTTATTGATTTTATTAAATATTAATTAAAATATTAATTAAACATTAATTTATTTTAAGTAACTGTTCTGAACCTTAAGGTATAAGAATTTCCATTTTAAAACTAGTTTTTTCTTATATTTGAGTTAGTAGTCATCAGGAAAAAAAGTTTCATTTTATTAAAAAAACACACATTCATTGTAAAAATCATTAGAAACATGACAAAGAGGCCTGAAGAAAAAAAATTAAAGCAACTATTTTCCTGCCACTCAGATGCAACTACTCTTAACCTCGCAGCGTCTATCTTCCTGGTCTCTCCCTTCCCCCCACATATTGTTTACTGATTTAGCTTACAAAAAGAAGATCAGAGAACACATATGTTTTTTATTCTGCTTTAACCATGTGATAATGTGTGGATATTTTCCCATGTGATTCGGTGTGTTTTTAGAATATCATTTTTAATGATTATATGGTATTTACCTAACTCCCCTCTGTAGGTGTTAGTCGTGCACAGGACAGCTTGTCCTGAAGCGAGCTCCTACCCTCTTCCACAAACTGCCCCCCTCTGTGTTAGTCGGCCGCAGTAGTAAAAGCACCAAAGTGTAATTTAAAAGGCACTAAGACTTGGTTGTTTTTATACATATTATAAACTTACTAGTTCTCACTGGATTTCTTTTTTTTTTCTCCCCCCAAATAGCAAATACCTGATGTATCCCCAACAGGTCGCTACACAACCCTGGTTCCTCTCTTATTTATTTTAGCTGTGGCAGCTATCAAAGAGATCATAGAAGATATTGTAAGTGCTTCATTTTTTCATAAATAAATATGACTTATTTTATATGCATATCTTAAAATATTAGTTTATCTTTAAGTTTAACGCTCGACACACGTTGTTTAAAATGCCCATTCAACTTAAAGACATATAGAATACGCTCTGGAGTCCATTGCTCTTAGTTTCTACAGGATTACTGTGACAGAATGCTTGGCAGAGTGTTCTCTGCATTGGTAGTTTAGTAACAAAAGAATTTAATTTAAATGCAATAATTGGCTTGGAGAGAAAATGATATTTGACCATTTTTTTCATTTATGCCCAATGTTCAATTTGAACATTATTTCAAGTTAAACATAGTAACGTCCAAATTATCTCAATGTAAAGGGTCTTATAACGTAGGTTTTATTTTTAATTCATATGCACGTTTTTCACTTTAAATGCCATTGATTCCTTTTCATCTTTAGTAGTTCTAAGCTTCCTTTTATTTTCCTGAAAGAAAGTAATGACATTTGCTATTTTTATTACACTCCAGTAGCTGAAAAGGGGAAGTCAATTTCCTGTTCATAAAATAAGTTCCCCCAAATATATTCAGACTTTTCTTTTTCCTCTCTTTTACCGTTATTTTAACTCCCTTATTGAGGAAGCCAATTTTTTTTTTCTATGCTCTTTAAATACTTGGCCAATCTGAAATGACCTTCTGTTGAGCCTTAGGCAAGTCAGACAGTAAGGCGAGGAAGGCCTGAGACATTCTTTAGGAAGCTCCAGTTTAAAGTTGCACAAATTATTTATATTATTTCTGTAGAGAATCAAATTGAAAAGGGTCAAGTGTCCATTTAGATCATCCAAAACATTCAAGTGGCTAACAGACAGAGGTTGTATGTCCGTGTGCTTTTGTGTAAAACATCATCATCCTCTTCATCAGAGATGACATGCTTGATGGGGACCACACACGGAAAATTTAAGGGACCCTCTTTTTTACCTATATTGTTCCACACAGACTTACCATCCTTTAAATTGCACTTGGCTCTAGCAATCCATAAGGATTGGTCTTTACTGTAATTTGTCTCTTTGTTTGCCTTATGTGCTCTCTTTTCTTTCTTTGACATAGTTTTGGTCAAGTACGTATTATTTACTAGACATTGTGCTGTGGTTTTACAAATATTTTTCTTCAATAACATTATAAGTTGGATATTAATCCCATTTTAAAGGTAAGGAAGCGGGGCTTAGAGAGATCATGAAACGTGTCCGAGAAATGGTTGGGATCAGATTCCATCTCCTCCAGGGCTCTTTTTCTGTATCGTGGCCACCAGCAATGGCACGAATCACATCTGTTGAGTTTCTGGGATCCATGTACTTGTTTTATATCCTTGACATCTACTTAGTCTTCCAGCCACTCTCTAAAGGATTATTGGTATTATCCCCATTTTACAGATAAGGGAGAGGAGGCACAGAGGAGCAAGGTAACTCGCCCAGGGTCACACAGTTAATAACTGCTGCTGTGAGAATTCAAAACAAGGCAGTTTGGTTCTAGAACTCCATGTTATTATCACTGTTCTCAGCTGCCTGTCCTGTCTTTTTTCTTTTTCCCTAACAAAACTATAAACTCTCTAGCTATGGTTTTAATACCCCTCTTTATGAAAATAAATGGTAAATAAAGTGATATCCTAGATTTGTTGTTGTTGTTGTTGTTGTTGTTGTTTTTAAACAAACTCTTAGGGGCCCCTGGGTGGCTCAGTGGTTAAGCCTCTGCCTTTGGCTCAGGTCATGATCTCAGGGTCCTGGGATCGAGCCCCGTATTGGGCTCTTTGCTCAGCAGGGAGCCTGCTTCCCCTTCTCTCTCTGCCTGCCTCTCTGCCTACTTGTGATCTCTCTCTCTCTCTCTGTCAAATAAATAAATAAAATCTATAAATAAATAAATAGATAGAATAAATGATTTATTGTTTGCATATAACACCCAGTACTCCATGCAGTACATGCCCTCCTTAATACCCATCACCAGGCTCACCCATCCCTCTCCCCTCCCCCCCTCTGAAACCTTCAGTTTATTTGCCATAGTCCATAATCTCTCATGGTTTGTCTTCCCCTCTGATTCCCCCCCAATTGATTTTTCACTTCCTTCTCCTAATGTCCTCCATGTTATTCCTTATGTTCCACATATGAGTGAAACCATATGATAATTGTCTTTCTCTGCTTGACTTATTTCACTCAGCATAATCCCCTCCAGTCCCATCCATGTCGATGCAAAGGGTCGGTATTCATCCTTTCTGATGGCTGAGTAATATTCCATTGTATATATGGACCATATCTTTATACATTTGTCTGTTGAAGGACATCTTGGCTCCTTCTGCAGTTTGGTTATTGTGGACTTGGCTGCTATGAACATGGGGTACATGTGCCCCTTCTTTTCACTACATCTGTATCTTTGGGATAAATTTCCAGTAGTGCAATTGCTGCGTCATAGGATAGCTCTATTTTTGACTTTTTGAGGAAACTCCATACTGTTTTCCAAAGCGGCTGTACCAACTTGCATTCCCACCAACAGTGTAAGAGGGTTCTCCTTTCTCCACATCCTCTCCAACATTTGTTGTTTCCTGCCTTAATCGGTTTTGGCCATTCTAACTGGTGTAAGGCGGTATCTCAATGTGGTTTTGATTTGAATTTCCCTGATGGCTAATGATGTTGATCATTTTTTTCATGTGATGCCAACTCTTATGGTAAGGTTCAAGATTGGTTGTTAAATTGATAATATTCACCATGAAAAACATGCCTTCTTTGCTATACACTTGTTAACTTAAACCCTGATAAACTTAATTCTTCAAAAAAAAAAAAAAAAAAACCTAATTTTTGAAAGTCCATGGTGTTCAGAGACCAAATATGAGGAAGAGATGAGTGAGTAAAAGAAGGCAGGTTGGAGCTTGCAGTCCAGTAGGGGAGACAGACATTAATCAAGTAACCACACTAGCTATTGTAAGAATTAAATAATTCACTGAAGTCCTTAGAACAGTACCTAGTTCTAGTAAGTGATGAATAAACGTTAACTGTATTATCATCCAAATGTCCTTTCGACTAAAATTTAGAAAATGGATTGGAAAGAAACAGGATGTGGGTACACTAGTTAGAGGAATATTTTAGAAGCTGGTATTTAAAAAATGGGGAGATTTAGACCAGGTGGCATTGCAGATAAAGCAATATAGAGAAATGAATTCAATTTCGCTTTAGGAGTAGAATTGATAAGACTTTTCACCATCCAACATGCTGCATACCCTACTTCTTTGACTCACATTCTCTCTCCAACCACTAGAATTTAAGTTCCATAAAGACAGAACTCTTGTTCATGGCTGTATCCTCACCAGTAGTAACAGGACCTGGCTCATGGTGTTCTGTAAATATTAATGAATGAAGAAGGATTAGATGGGAGTGAGAGAGAGGAGAAGATGCCAGGATGACTCTTGAGTTCCTGGTTTGTGCAAGTAGATGACATATGGCTCCATGTCTGAGAACAAGGACAAAGGCTTGGGGGTTAAAGTCCTAGATTGCCTTGTGGACCTAGCTGGAGATGCCTTTGAGATTGCCAGAGGGAGATGTCAAGGAGGCTATAGGATGTAACTCTCTGGAGCTCAAATGAGAGCCTTGGCTGCTATCTATTGATGTATCAGTTACAAGTGAAACTGCAGGTCCGGATGAACTGAGCTGGGAAGAGAGTACAGAGTAAGAAGCAAAGAGGGCCAGGGAGTAAGCCTTGAGGAATTCTATTCCTGTATAATGAGATAGGAGATGAAGAAGGGACCAAGGTACAGTGGAACACCCGGGCAAGGATAAGATAAGAAACAATTAGAAGTGTGGGGGGAAGGGTTCCCAGGAGGGAGTGGTCAACATTACATACCTCAGTATTCTAAAGTTCATGGCACTATTTACACAGGACACTTTATTGGTGCACCGTCAATTAAATATTGATAATACCAAGTAATTCACCAGGCCTCAGTGATAGGAAATGAATTCTCACTCTAGGACAGTGGAGATATTTGAACTCATGGAATAACTGTATTGTTTCCTGAAGTGTCCATTTTAGAAGGAATGAGAATTTGTTTGGGATTCAGAGATTCTTTTTTTTTGTTGTTGTTTTTAATAGTTATAAGATTAGAATCTGCCTATCTGGATGGATCCTTATGTATGTTCAACACAAGTGTTTCTCCACGAGCGACCTAATTTATTCTGTGGCGGGAAGGCTGAGGAAAGGGATGCTCCTGTACAAGAATTCTCTGTAGATGGAAAATAATGTTCAGCATCTCCTTGGGTTTCACAATGATTAAATTTCCTGATTAAGTGGAATGTTTCATTAATTCACTTTTATTTGCCTCCATCAGTTGGAAGTCTTAACTATTTTCTGTCACAAATGTGCATTGTTTTGGAAATACTTGCACCTCTTTCAAATATCTAAATTTGCTTTGAACCATTATTTTGGAATCAAAAATTTTTTGGGGTTACTTTCTAGTTTTCCGTAGAAACTAGATTTTTACGAATAATTTTTACGAATTTTTTACGAATAAAAAAGAGTTAAGTATTTGAGAGTTTCATCAATTATAAAATATTCTCCACTGATGCTACAAATTTAAACTTTTAAAAATTCATTGAAGAACATTTGCTGGTAAATCATAAGCTTACTTTTGGGAGCAATAATTTGCCTAATGAAAGTGTACTTTTTTCCAGTTTTATTAGTGAGTGTTTTGCTTTGAGAAAGAATTGTAGTGTGTCCCTGCTTCTGGGTGCGGCAAGAATTACTTTCTACAGGCCTGCCATAGAGGCATTTTGAATGCCCTATTTGCATTTTGTGCAGTTCAATGGCTGATTGTTTGTGGGAACTGAGTAGCGCTATTAGGACAGTCGTCCTGAGTGGTGCTGTTCGGGGAGGAGCGCTAATCCACAACTCTGGCCTTCGCTCTTGGAGAGTATGGCCATATTTCCCTGTGATTCCAAAAACCCTATTTCTTCTCAAATGGAAAAATTAGGAACTCCTTTGTTTCACATTCATTCCAACCTAACTTACAGTCAAGTCTATGCAGGTAAATCTGACCTTGAGCTTTAAGGATAGGATTTTTGAGTTCATAGTTAGTTATACTCAATACTTTTCTGTAATGTCAACAGAGGCTGATGTGTTACACTTGATGCTGTAAGGTTAGACAGAAGCCATGGAAAACCTCTAGTTGAACTGTAGACGAGATAGCTTCCCCTGGCCGCTCAAATTCTCTCCCTTCCTCTGACCTTTCGTTTCTTTTACTCTCTGCCCTAAAACCTTGGCTTATGTGACTCTTCAGTTTCACCCATCTAGACTTAGGCCAACTCATCTGTTTAGCATTTAATTTTTTTGGCGCTTTTGGGTGGAAGGAGACTAGGATCATGTGATTTAGTGGTTTATGATGGGGAGAAGGGACCATTGAGAAGCAGTGGATGGAAGAGGCTTTATGCAAATGGTATATGTGTTTGTTTCTAGTCAGTGAATTTCATAAGAGCTGACAATATTTCAGTGCCACTATTAAATGGTAGTTGTTACAGATAATTCTCTTGGGCAGTCTTTTTTAAGTGAATTATTTAAGTAAAAATCTAAATCAACCTTTCCCATTACTTTAAAATTTTAATCTTAATGTGTATAATAATGTACGATCTTCCGCGGACCGCACAGCTGTGCTCCCAGAAGAGGGGTATTGTATGACGATGCTCTAGATCGTGTTTTTAATTTTAAAATTCCCACATAACCTCTAATTCTTCTTATCACCACACCACAGCATGCTTATAAAATTGATATGGATCTGAAAGGACAAAAGCCTTTGAGAAACATAAGTTGAAAGAAACCTTTCTTGTTGTAGCTGCTACTTTGTTTCATTAATCTCATCCACTTTTTCACAGTTTCTATTTTTGCTTTTAAACTTTAGAAACGTCATAAAGCTGATAATGCAGTGAACAAGAAACAGACACAAGGTAGGATTTTTACATTTTATTTCTCCTGTCAGATACAGTAATATGTACCAATCATTTTAATTAAATGTAATGAAATTGAAAATACTGTGTATCTCTTAAGTTCTTGTTCCAGGGTAGACTTGTTTTTTTGTAGCATTTATTAGCATGACACTTAAATTCACATTAGAATGATTTACAGTGGTAATACTTTTGAAAGATAACGTTTTTAATACATTTAAATGCCTCATAGCAATGTGTTCTAAAGTACTGACCATGAAATCAGCAGATGTTTTGACATGTTAAGTGCTGCAAGATATCTGTATTTTGTTGGTGATCAATAGATGTTACTCTAGGTAAGATTGATAGAAAACAATCAGATGTGGTGTTACTTGTTAAAAGGCATGTTGTAAGTACTTTGTGTTAATACTGTACATACAGATATATGTCCAGAAATAAACAAAAACCAGGCCAGCTTCTGGGAAACACATAACATTTTGACATGGCTCTTTTGTTGTGGGTCTCTTTTTGACACAGCAAAAACCAAAATGACCTCTAGCACAAGAACATAACTAGACCATAATGCTCTTAGATTTAAAAAAAAAAAAAAGAGCACCTGGGCGGCTCAGTGGATTAAAGCTTCTGCCTTTGGCTCAGGTCACGATCGCAAGGTCCTGGGATCAAGCCCCACATCCGGTTCTCTGCTCAGCAGGGAGCCTGCTTCTCCCTCTCTCTTTCTGCTTCCCTCTCTGCCTACTTGTGATCTCTGTCAAATAAATAAATAAAATCTTAAAAAAAAAAAAATAGCCAGGAACATGTGAAGTAGACATCTCATCCCATCCCTGAGTTTGCCTGCCCCATCTGAGAATCTCATCCCTCTCTGAAGTTCCCTGATATGATAAGGATCAGCCTTGTCTGCCAAAGTTAGCTGGTTATTAAAAACAGTATTTTTATACTGCTGTGATTTTTATGGGACCTGCCAAATACCCTGCTTTTCTTCCAAAAGGATCATCTGCGTATGCCCTCCACTAAAAGGATTTTCTGCTGATTTTTGATACAAAAAGGTACATTTATTTAAGTATCACTTAATAAATTAACAAAATATTTACTGAGATTCTTTATTATGGGACATGTGAGAAAGCATAAGATGGGAACTATATAAAGGCACAAGGGTAAGATATGATCTTGTACAGATCAAAATGAAAGATTTGGATTACCTGATCTCAGTGTCTCTCTAGATTTTTCAAAGTGGCAAATAATGCTTCCTATGTTAAGTCCTGCATGCATGTAAAAGGAGAGAAAATTTGGGGGTAATTTGAGGTTGATCTTCAATCTTAGGGAACACTTCGAATGAGCAGAGACGTCCAAATGGGAAGACCTTACACATATGTTAAGTGAGAAGGAGGGAAGAGAGGTTATCTTGAACAGAAATGAAGAAGGCTACTGGATTGCCTTGTTGAACCATTATCAGAGTTTCAGATGAAGAAAGGAGATTCATGTCAAAGGGAAGCAAACACATGATTAATAAGGAAAGCCAAGGTCAAATTTTCCAGGGCCTGAATCCCAACTGAAGGAGATTCCAACTTTTCTTGAGTATGCTGAGTAGCTCTTGAAGGTTTACAAGCCAGAAAGAGACAGGATGACCATCCAGATTGAAGTTAAAGAACAGAGTAAGAGGCTATTGGTAGCCAGGGGGACAAAGGAACTCTAGGAATTTGGGTGGGAAGAGACAACAATAGGAATTGAAAGGGTAAAAAATCCAGATGTTACTGGTACTGGTGTTTTGGACAGTATGCAAAAATACATTTGCATTTGTTGCCATGTTGCTTAGAATATTTAATAACAGCTTTTGAACCAAAAATATGTAACTGTTTTTCCTATATGTAATGTATCTTGTAGCTATCTACAAGAGCTATCTTCAGGGACTAGCAGTTACCAATCTTCGAGCCTTGCCCCAAGAAACCAATAATGTATAATTGAAGAGCAACCATCATAGCTATGATGATTTTAGGCTACTATACCTTGTACTGATGGGTTTCCCAATATTCCAGGTACTTACCTACTTCCCAAATATTCACTTTTTTCTCCTACTTAAAGAAAATATTCTTTCTTGGTTATCATTCTCTGTTCATCAGTTTATCCTGGATTAACCAGATTAGCTCTACGGCTAAAAATGAACAGGCGAGTAAGAGGGAAAAAGCTTCCCTAGTATATAAAACTCATGTCGAAAATAAAACGTTAGGACTTAATAGCTATAAAAACCATTTTAAAATCAACAGGAAACTTAAGAATTCTATATCCAAGAAATTCTGACTTTTAGTTTGATACTTAAGTTTATTTTCTGAGGGAATAGTATTTTTTTTTCTTTGCCTCACTGAATGTTGGTTATCTTTTTGTTTTGCAGTTAATAGGAGATAACAGAAATGTTTGAGTCGGATACTGTTTGCTGTAAGATAACTGAAATTGCTTAATACAAAAGCCATCTGTTGTCATTAGACCAGAATGAAATTCAATTTGCTTTCCTGAATTGAGACAAGAATGGGTGTAGGAGTGGGGGGGGGGGTGTATTTTTGACAGATAATTCATCTTTTGGCGGGCATTTGAAGTATTTAACTTAAATTTTCATTTTATAAATGTTTACCAAGACCATATAATATGTGAGAGGATACCTTTCTGTCACATTCAAATATTAATCCTCTTTCCTTAGAGAAATTAGTATTTGTCTCCTCATTTTACATCGAAGCACTAGAGTGACTTTTCTCTGTCACTCTCTAATGACTTCAAAAATATAAATTCATAATTTCATTTATAACATTTTCATCCACTTGACTGTAGACTATCTGATGCCTCATTGTCATGAACTAAAGCAATTTTGGATTTGGGACCTAACTTACTACTTCATAAACTTTACCTTTTGAGCCTATCATCAGCGCTTATGGGAACAAGCCATTTCTTGTCTTAGAGACAGAGAAGTTGCCTAGGTAGATGGTTCAGTGGGCTTACAATGTGAAACTATATATTGCTCTCTGAGGACCTACCTGCTGAGGGAGAGCAAATTGATGGTCAGAAGCCCAGGGAGTATGAGTGGACCTTTGAGGATTGTGGTTCACTCCTCCCGATGAGCTGTGATTACTTCTCTGGGCCCCTGTTTTTTTCTCATGTGATGGTGCACGTGGACTAGGTAGGTGTGCCCTCATACTCATCTTTGTACTCGCCAAACCTCTTAGCCTAGAGGCCTGTATGGGTGGATGAACCACTCTCCACGGAGAAACTTGAGTGCAGACAAAAAAGTAAGAAGAGACTAGAAATGAAAGGAGCCTTCTTGAAAATTCATCATCTGGGGTACAAACAAGACAAAAGGCAGTGTTTCAAAACACTGTGTCCGAGACTGTTTTGCAGACACTGATGAAATGCTAATGCAATGGAAGCTTTTGCTGTCTTTTTACCTTCTCTGCTGAAGTGATATCATCGCTTTGCCTTCTATGAACACAGTACCGTGTCCACTTATCACTTCCGTTACTGAAAGCTCCAGAGCACTGCCAAATTCAGAATGCCCTCATTTTCTGTGCATCTAAACTAACCTTCATTTTCTTTGATTTCTTCCTTAATATTTGAACTCACAGTATTTGATATACCTCTCTCCATATGTCTACACACACACTGGGGCAGTCTCTATCCCTCATCTGGGTTGTTTTGCCACATTTAGCTCTGCAGGAATTTGTAAATTGTAAATTCATTATTATCATTCTAATATGTAAATTGGAAGAAATCTCTGATTTTATGATAGTGGTTGAGCTAGTTCTTTTTCAATTGTAAACCCATATTTACATTTTTTTCCTTAAAGTAAGCTATTGTGCCTAGCGTGCCAGTAGTTCAAGTGGAAGGTAGTTTCACATAAAATCACAGTGCAGAGAACTGGGAAAAGATGGGCCTCAGGTGCAGACTAAAGAAGATATTGAGGATCTTAAAAATTAAAATTAAAAAAAAAAAAAGCCCCTTAATGGAATAGATTTGCTTTTTAAAAAAAAAATCCTGGGTTTGGGGGCGCCTGGGTGGCTCAGTTGTTAAAGCCTCTGCCTTCGTCTCAGGTCATGATCCCAGGGTCCTGGGATCAAGCCCCACATCGGACTCTCTGCTAGGCAGGGAGCCTGCTTCCACCTCTCTCTCTGCCTGCCTCTCTGCCTACTTGTGATCTCTCTCTGTCAAATAAATAAGCTAAAAAAAAAAAAAAAATCCCAGGTTTGGATCTCTTCCCTGAAGGATGATGTATATACATTCCACCAGTGAGACTAGATGGGAGATAACCTGTGGTTCCTGGCAACCCATCAGTCACCTGATTTGATGCTGTAGTTGAACAAGGACCACCATTAATTATTAGTTGGTCTGTTTCATACCTGATTTTATTTTGTAGTAGACATTAGAGTCAGTTTTTAATAAAGTTGTTTTTCTCTGTTTTAATTGAGAAAAGGACCACAGCAACTAGGCATGTAGCCGAAAATCTCAGATCTCATCTTTAGCTCTGTCTTCCTGCCTTGGAGCTACCTCACCCTTCTCAGAAGTGGAAGTGAGGTGGTGGGTGCTGAGAGCCGCTAGGAGGCTGCTTCCCTGCGGGGCACAGAATCACCTTCCTGCCCCCGGAAACCAGTGCCCCTTCAAAGCTCTTTGTGAGAAGGGTGTGCAGTTGGCCTGGGTGGACTGATGATAAGCATGAAGTGACCTACTCACAGGCTGAATCCATCTGGAGGAGCTCATTCCATGCTAAGGGACTTAAGGTCACACCAGGTTCCTGCTTGTTGAAAAAGCCGAGCCACTGCCTTGGTGTCTCCCTGGAGGTAGCCCCATGTCAGAGCCATCCTGTAGACCCGAATAGACACTCTGCCACGTGGGCGTCGTCTTACCTATAAATAGCTCTTACGGAATATTGTTTGCATGATCTGAAACATGAGGCTTAAAAATTGAGCATATGTATGGCCTAAATCATGTTTCAGCCCCTTATAAGATCGTTAATATTTTCAAATAATTGT